CTGTTCTTTAACTTGAACAGTCCCAGCTATTTATCCTTTCCTTCACTATCCTTGCTTTGGGTGTTGTATCTTTAAAGATGTTAGTAAGGTGTATGTCGTGTAGTGTTTTGCCCACCTTTGCTTCCAGGTATTTTATGTTCTTTTGGGTCTTATGTCTAGACCTTTGATCCATTTCGATCTTTTGAAATGAATCTTTGATCCATTTTGGTTTTTGTGCATGGTGTGAAGTAGTGATCTAGTTTCATGTGTGTGTGTTTTTTTTTTTACATGTAGCAGCCCATCTTTCCTGGCACTATTTGTTGAAGTTTCTTTGTTCCATTGCATATTCTTTGCTCCTTGGACAACAGGATTTCAAAGGCAAGTCTGCCTTGAGGAATTGCCCTGTCGTTTTTTCTCTCTCTACCTTCACCTCTGCTTTTTGCTTGTGTGTCTTGCTCTCTATAGAATGGCTTTCTCTCTCTCTCTCTCTCTCTCTCTCTCTCTCTCTCTCTCTCTCTTGTTTCAGGCCCTGTGCAGGATTGCTGCCCCTCAGCCCTCTAACACCCATATCTGCCTCCCCCACAGAGGCTGATGTACATTCCTTTATGGTGCCAGGAAACAGATGATGGGGTCCATCTGGGATAGGGTGTCTCCCCGTGACCTAGTCTTCCACTGCAGCGGAAGGTCTCAAAGTCTGCCAGCTACAGTGGTGGAGGCCAGATCTTCTGGGTGAAAGCCAGGTCTGAGGAGACAGAAGTCAGATGAGCAGGACAGATACCCAAAAGGTGACCACTGCAGAGAATGTTTGTGATGTTGTAATAAGTTCTCTGAGAACTGGCCATCACCTAAATTGAATAAGGTGACTAAAGTGTTTCTCTACTAATCACGCATCTGCGTTAGGTTTACCTTCACTGAAATGGACTATAAAGTAAATCCTTAACTTTTATTGGAAGTCTCTGTTATACACAGATCTATGAGCCACCTCTTAAGGCTAGAATCCTGGTGAGTACATCATTTACTGTGAATATTGGCTGGTCCTCTATAACGTTGTTAGACTTTTGTTCCAGAATGTTTATATCTCTAAGGAATAGTAGACATAGTAGACTTTTTTTTTTTTTTTTCGCATGTGTGCTTTAAAAGTTAGCAGGTTTCCCTTTTGTATGGCCCCAGTAACCGCAGTTAGCATGCATAGCTTAGCTAGGCTGGAACTTTAGGGAAGGCTACTCTAAATGACCAGAAGGGATATAGCCAAAGAGTAATACTCATCTCTCTGGTTAGGGATCTCAAACTCAAATGCCTGCAGTTTCCAGGTAGTTAACAAGGTGTTGTGGGTGGGTTTAGATAGTAAGAAAAAACTATTGATGGGCCCTCCCCGGTGGCGCAGCGGGTTAAAGCACTGCACTAAGAAGCTGAAACCACTTCCGCATGAGTTCGATTCCTGCCTGCCCAGGAGGTGACCACATGGTGTGGCAGACCTCTCCTGACCCGCCCACTGCTTCCCTCAGCAGTGTGCTTTGTCGATCTGTCTGTTCTGCTCCCCACTCTGTCTCTGGTGAAGTCTTTCGCCACCCCTGAGTCTCTGGCCTGTACCCTGGTTCTGTATGCACAAATAAATAAATCTTAAAAAAAAAAACAAAAGCTATTTAGTTCAAGTGTAAGTTAGTTTTTCAGTTATATTACCTTTTAAAACACTACACTGGCCAAACAAAACACTTTGGAACACTTCAGAGGCGGGCTGTCAGTTTTCTCACCTTGGAGTCTTAGCGCTTTGGTCTTCAGCTTCCTCAATGAGGGATTTCTGTCTAAGCTCAGCTTGCCCTCATCACTGGCACAAGACCTGCCCTCCCACTTGATAATACCAAGGCCCTTCCAGTTTCTATCTAGAAACAGAGAAGTTCTTTTTCTTACCTAAGGTCCTTCTCCCAAGTCCCTATTTCCTGCTAAATTGCTGTCTCTTCTGAGGATGTCAGTACTGGGGATGTCTGCATTTGAAGAGGAGACCTTGACCCACAGAATGCAGCCAGCGATGTCCTCTGCAAGACAGTCCCGCCAGGCAGTAACAAAGGTGTTCCGCATTGGGGCAAGGGTGTACACACTTGTAATTTTTGGAGAGGTGCTTTCCATGGGTTCCCGCAGGCTGTGTAGCAGCAATGGAAAGGAGGTGACATCCTCGGAAACAGAACCAGAGAGCCCTTTTGTTAGAAAAGTTTCCCCCACATTAGATTAATATGTGAGCATCTCGATTTTATAAATTTGGTTCCTGGAAGTTAAGACACTGTGCCGAGTCACCTGGGCCAGATGTGTTCAAGGTACAAGCGACTCCCCCACCTCCAGGGGCTCTGCCTGTCTCCTGGCAGCGCTTCCACGGGCCATGTCTGTTTCCAAACAGAAAGGCAAGTGAGTGGTTTTTCAAGTTGCGAACAGTATTTTCAGAGAATAAAGCCCAAGACATTATGATGGCCAGCAACTTTGAAGTGCTTGTGAATCTCACAAACACTACACTGTATACATTATCCATTGTTAGAGTGGAAATAGCAATATATTGAAGACATTCAAAAAAGAAGAAAATTAAGTCTAAGTTTCTACTGTTTCATATATTGCATCATTTAGTGGACATCAAAGAGCTGAGTTTTTAGGGTTTTTAAACTATTTTGACTCTAGCATGTTTAGGTATGGCTGATTCAGAGGAAAACAATTAAAAGTAGCCTTCTATTTGGAGATAATATTGTTGCTTTTTCTGCCACAGGCTTGAGTGGAGAGATGGAAAGGGCTTTAGTTATAGACACCAGATTTGATATCATCCAGTGGTGGTGACCTCAGACTCCAATCCTGTTAGGAGGGGTGGAGATGGATGTGCTCAGCCAGCTCTCAGTATTTAGGTGGGGAGCGGGGCGAGGGTCCCCTCTTAAAGACTCTGAGCCCAACATGAGCCCATGCCTTCCACGAAGGGCCAGTCAGGGTGGAGGACAGGTGCACAGCTCAGAGACCTGCAGAGTGCCTTTGTGTAAGACTATTCTAGGCATGGGATTCAGTTGAGAACAAGAGGCACAGACCTCTGGTGTCACAGGACATATGATCTAGAAAGGGAAATAAAGCAAAATACTTTTGGACTGACAAGTGACCATTTAAAAGCACCCATTGTGTGTTGCATGAGGGATCAGGGACATCTTCTTGGAAGTCTGAAGTACTGGAAGAACCTAGCCAGCGAGCAAGGCCAGGCCCTGAGGCAGGAGAGCGCTTAGCAAAACAGAAGCACTTTCAGGTCAATGTGGCTTCAGTGCAGGGTGCCTGGGGAGGGTGGAGCCGGACAAGGCTAGGACAGGAAGCAGTGTCCGCTCCTGCAGCCTTGGCGAGGAGGTGTTAGGCAAGGAAGTCACATAACTTGACCTGTATACAGAGTTCTTTCTGCCTACAGTACTGGGAATAGAGCACTGTAAGTGCAAGGGAAGGATCATACAAATCAAAGGAATCCCTACTCTTTTCATTCCTAAGGATTAAACAGATTAAATACCTCTTTCTGCCTCCTGCTATGAGCGCTGCAATGTTGGCTAGATAGAGAACTTATTACAGACCTTATGACCCAATAGCTGGGGGTTTGGGGTGGCAGGGTAGGAGCTCCGCCCACCAGACCCTTGTTGGCTATGGATTGCATAGCAAACCACAAAAGTTGTGTGAAGAGCAGCTAAGCTTCACCAGTGAAAGAACAACAGCCCTGTGGTAGCCCTGCTCAGTTCCTTCCCAGGCCCCCTTCCTCCCCTTCTAAATCATGTCATGTCACGTGATCTATGGCCAGTCACTGTGCTGAGTCACTTTAAGGTGGCCGGGTGAAACATGGCCTCGTTGCAATGAGTTTGATTTAAACTTAGAGGGCGTGGTGAAAGAGGCTGTGTGTGTGTGTGTGTGTGTATTTTAATTTAGACTGATTAAAACATGTGCCTCATTTTATAGCTTCAGCCTCCATGCTATATACAGCTACTGATAAATTCAGCCTTCGAGCCAGACCCTGTGTTTGGGTGGAGAGGGGGAGAGAGATGGATAACTGAGTAAATGGCATGTGCCTGGGACTGGCAAAGCTGCCTGCAGAGGCATGTGGGCAAACTGGGATGAGGTTTAGCTGGATATGGAGAACACAGACAAGAAAAGGGACTCACAGAGTCCGATCCCTGAGGATTAGGTCCTGGTTCCTGCAGTGTTGCTGGCCTGGCGAGGTGGGTGACAGCCTGTCCAGAAACCCTGAAAGCAGCAAGGTGATGCTGAGGGTGCATTTTGTGTTTCAGAACCTTCTCGGAGGTGGAGGTTTCTGTTTCTCGTGCCACCATGCTGACTGTCCGCCTCTCCAGACCCCTGTCACAGATCCGGGGCAAAACCTTGAATTTCTACAATAGAGAGAATGAAAAGAGGTAAGAAACTGGAGGTTGGGGAGGCTTTGAGTGGGTGGAGTCATGCTTGGTGGGTCAAGCAGAGCTCTTCACACAGAGTGATGCAGGTGCTAGTAGGAGCTCACCCTCAAAGATGTCTCACGCACCTGCCACCTACCAGCGAAGGAAACTCGGAAGACAGGGACCTTTCTGGGAGATCCATTGCACAGAAGAACACCTTTTATCACTGCTTTATTTTTTCAAGTGTTTTGAAATAACATAAAAAAAAAAAGTTGTAAAAACAGTACAAAGGGTTCTGTGTCCTCCTCACCTAACTTTCCCAGATACTAATGGCTTACAAAACTATAACGCAATAACCAAAACCAGGAAATTAGCACTGACAGAATACTGTCAAGTAACCCACAGGCTCAGGCTTGACCCCACCTTTTCCAGATGGCCTACTCATGGACCCTCCCCTGTCTACAAACTTGAGGTTGTCATGTCTACTGAGCCTCTGCTCAGTGTGTCCTATTAGGAGGCACACGATGTGACTCATTACTGATCACCTGGATAACTGCTCTCTTAAAATCTCACACTGAAACTAGTTTACTCAAGTGCCCCAAGACTTCACTGAAGAGTTTACAGGATTCAGAGGAAACATTAAGTACAAAGTGAACAACCATCTTTTCTTCTTTTAGAACTTCTTGAATTGCCTTTTCCAAGGGATTCAGTGTACTCTACTACCTCATTTTCTTCTTTTTCAGCCAGAGCAAGGGAAAAAAATAATACTTTCATTTTTATATTTGATAGCAGTGAAATTAAGTGTTAGGTTAAATGCAGAGTCTCAACAGCTAGAAAGTTAATGGATATTTTCTTTGCCAATAAATATGTTTAAAAGAATGTGGATGAAGGCTCTTAGCAACATTTGCTTAAAAGCATTTCCATGTGCTCCAGAAGCTTGATTGGAGATGGGGTTTCAATTACCAGATGACACCACGTAAGGAGTTTTAAGATGGCTGTCCAACAGAGGCAACTTTCCATCACAGAGGAAAGAGCCTGGCTCTGGAAGAGAGTGACTTATTGCACTATTTTTTTTTCAGTGAGTGATAGAAATGACAAGATCTCAAATGTGGCTCTTTGAGATTCCTGGAGAATACTTTTTATATAGGTGAAAATAATCCTGAAGGGAGTTAAACTCCTTTACAAAGCTTTTATTGCCAATTAAAGGGAAATGAGGCATCAGTGAGGATTCTGGCTCACTTAAGAGGGAAGAAAGGTGGTGATGGAAGATTCAGAATTTTCTGAAAGAATTACAGAAATTTCCTTGTTAGGTAAGAGAGCAGGCAAGGTGAGTTACAGCACATTCGTCCTTTGGGCAAAGGTACCAGCAAAGTCAAGATGGAGACCAGGTGTGTGCGGAGGATGGAATTGTGGGTGATCACTGAGCCTGGTCCAGCCAGGAGGTCTTGGGTGGGGGAAACTTTGACCCAATCATTTTGCTTGAACCTTAGGTGCAGAGAGCCTCACACTGCAGTCCCCACAGGTGCAAGGATCCTTGACAAGTGATGTGACAGCCTCTAGTTATCTCCAGCTATGGGTAGCCAGTGCCTCGCATAGCAAGCTTCTTGTTTGGACAGTGTTTTTATAAAGTTCTTTATATGGAGCAGGGATATTTTTTCCTGTAAGTGTACCCCTCATCCTTGGGCCTGACCTCGGCATTCAGAGTGAGCAAGTTAATCTCTTATTCTAGGAACACCATGTGATCCCAGTACCCATCTGCCATGACTTCTCTTCCTCCATCTGCGTGTTTTCTCATAGCTTATCTCCCAGGGTCTCACCACTTAGCATTGAGGTCTTGTATCAGAAAGATGCCACTTGGCCTGTGCTCCTTATTAAGATGGGGTGCTCCAGACAGAACAGAATGCCTGTCTCAGAGCAGCAGGACACAGAATCTGTCCAGATGAAAACCAGTTAAGGCCTCTGCCCCTCCTCAGCCCCTGACAGCCCACTCTGCTTCCTGGCTCTGCGGAGCAACAGCCACCCACTTCTTCTCCCTCTACTGGGTTCTGGCCTTCATATTCAAATGGAAAATTATTTTTAATCTCTCTAAACAGCAAGAACTCCCATAACCACACAGCCACAGTCACATTGCTATGTGACTCTAATAACCAGGAAGGAGAAGCTGAACACTGCTGCTCTGGGCCTGTGGCCACCAGCCCTTCCCCAGGGCTGCCTGCACTGGGCTCAGCGGAGGCACTTATCAAACGTGCGGGTATCGGGGTGCCCCTTCCTACTGAACCAGAGCATCAGTGGAGACATCTAGGGTCTGCCTTTCAACAAGCTGCCCACATGCTTCTTAGCGAAAGCTCGAGAATTGGGATGCTATAGCCTTCCCAAGCCCAAGGCCCCTCAAAATTACAGCAGCCCCCAAGATCCCATAGCACCTGCAGGAACTCCAAAATGAGAGAAGAGGCAACTATGTGACCACCAGTACCAGGACATCCTCAGGCCTACTGCAGCCCTTCAGCTAGAGTCAGTGTTCTTGGCCCTGACGCACATGCTCTGATCAGGGCTCTACCTCTTGGGGCTTGGATGTGAATGGGATAAAGCTTTGTGCTCTCTGAAAAAGCAGAAAAATTCTACTGACAGCTGGGTATGAGAGGTAGAGTCTGCTATAATACCCCCAGGGACGGTCAAGTTTGAGACTGGGAGTCTGGATATTTTTGGGAATTGAGGAGGTGGATTAGAGAAAATCTGGCATCAAGTAAGTCTGAAATAAACTTTCTTTTAATGTGAGATTTTTGTTACTTTAAAAATACCAGATAGTGCTAAGGGGGAGACAGAGGACAAGCACATATAATCTATCTCCAGCGGGGACACCTTGTTCCTTTTGCAAGCAGCACCTGGGGCTATGGGAAGGCAGAGTGATTCTCTTTGGGTAAAGCATTAACTAGCTTTGGGTGTATTAGCAATACCATCCTGCCACTTGAGGCGGAGGTATTAAAAATCCATGTAGAGGGCTTGAAAATCCAAAGAGGTTCTTCTGTGGCAGCTCATAAGGACAGGAGGTTACACAATGGCAATTTTTTAAATTAATTTATTTATTTTAAATATAATAGTTTATTTTGACATCATTTGTACATTTTTTTTTTCATCTCAATTGTAATCCCTGTGGGTTTTCCATCACCGAGTCACCCATATGCCATCACCATAGTCCCACACAATGACAATTTTCTCAGTGGACCTTATTTCTGTCTAATGAACCCAATGTTCTGTGAATTTAAAAAATATTTTTATTATGATTTAAAAAAAAAAAAGCTTTATTTTCCCAACAGGTACTATATCACATGGTACAGAATTCAAATGATGCAAATCTCCGTCTCCCTCCCCACCCCCGTACCCCACACCCATGTTACCACCCCTACCTCCTCCACTATTGTTTCTGGCTTAATATTCATTTATAAACTAACAGGACTTCCAGTTCTGGAAGATAGAGTAGATGTACTTTTCTCTATTTCTTCTATAAAGTACAACTAAAATTCCCAGGGTATTATATAAAGCAAGCACCAAAGACTCTAAAACTTGAAGAAGGTGGATTAGTCAGGGGCCTCAAGAGCCAAGAAGTGACACAGACTGGAAGTTGACCACCCCACAGACACCACTGAGATCAGGCATTGAACAGCCCCGGCAAAAGCTTGCTCTGTCAAAATAGCATTTCCTAGCAATAGAAAACTGGACAGCAATCACTTGGACAACACTACAGAAAAAATTGTGCCCTCACCCCTACAGTTCTGAGGCCCACCATGGGACTGTCAAGTAGTCTAGGATTTTTGCTTTTCCCCCCCACAGTATCTAGGCAATTGGCCTGCCTGGAGTGGGTGTGGGGAAGCATCAGAGGAGGCCGAATGGAGAGTCATGATTTTTTCAACCACCTGGTGGTAATGAGATTGACCACACACACCCCATACATGAGGGGAGCAATGGTGAGGCACTCCAATGCCTCCCAGCCAATGAGATTAACAGTGGGGACCAAATGGGGAGCCAGAATTCTCTTCCCCAACAATTAGTGAAACTTCTCAATTAGTCTATGAAGTTGCTATTACCCTGATTCCAAAATGAGATGAAGATATACAAAAGACTACAGACCAATATCCTTTGTGAATAGAAGAGGTAAGGATCTTGAAAATATTAGCAAATAGAATTCATCTATGTGAAAAGAATAATAGACTATAAACAAATGGGTTTCCCCCAATAAAGATGGTTCATTATTTAAAAAGTCAATCATTGTAATCTATCAAATTAACAGGCCAGAAAAGAAGAATAATATGATCTTATCTATCACTGCAGAAAAAGCAAAATGTAATATCTGCTCGATGATAAAAAGTATCAGAAGGCTGCTGCCACTCTGGAATAGAGTTTTATAGTATCTAAAAAAACTACATGCATTGCTACCTTGAGACCCAGCAGTTGTTTTCCTGGGCATTTATCCCAGAAAGACAAAAACATATACAGGCGTATATGTTTCATACAAAAACCTATACAGGAGTGTTTATAGCAGTTTTATTTGTAGTAGTTCCAAACTGGAAACACCCCAGATGTTTTAAATAAGTGAATGGCAGAACTGTGGCACCCCCATGCCTTGCAGTGCCATTTAATAAAAAGGGGCCAATTATTGATAAATGAAACAATCTGGATGGATCGCCAGAGAATTATGCTGAGTGAAAAAGGCAACCCTAAAAGCTTATATACTGTTTGATGCCATTTATATGACATTCTTGAAGTGGCAGAATCACAGTTATGGAAATCAGATTCATGGTTAAAGAGAATGTAGGGTGGGAAGGAAGTAGGTGTGGCCATGGAAGACCACATCCTTGTGATGGAAATGTTTTGTGTTTTGAATGTATGGTGTCAAGATCCTGCTTGTGAATTGTACTACAGTTTTTGCAAGATGTTACCATAAGGGAAGTTGGGTAAGCGGTATAGGGCATCACTCAGCATTATTTCTTAGCTGCATATGAAGTATGGTTTTCTCAAAATAAAAAGCTTAACTTAAAAATGATCAGGAGGTAGCATAAAACAGAGGGGAAATGCACTGGACTATGGTGATGGCACATGGGTGATTTGGTGATGGGAAACCCAAGGGGATTGCAACTGAGATGGGAAAATGCACAAAAATATGTAAAAATAAGCTATTATAAAATTAAAAAAAAAAAGCATAGGGTTAACACACTGAATTTGCAGAAAGCTTTGTTCACAAAGTCCTCTCACTGGACGCTCTCCTTACAACATGCTAAGTAACCACTGCTGGTCCACCTTTTCCCGGACTGGCCACCCAGGGCAGGAGGCTCTGTTCCCAGCATTACCAGCAAGGGGGTTCTCGGGAGACCTGGCGGGGGCAGTCAGAGCTGCTCAGCAGGGCTGTGTTCTGGGTTACTTCTGCCCAGGAACAAGGCCAAGGTGTGACCCCAGCCTCTGCTCATGGCTCCCTTGTTCTTGCAGACGCACGCTGCTGTGTTACTCCGCATCATTTGTCCCTGTGGGCCATAGGACCTATGCCGACACCGCGACGGTGGTGGACCCGGTGAGTGGCAACCCAGCCAGCCTGGGACCAACCAGGCAGCCAGAATCCTTTCCTGTAGGCCTCTGGGTCTTGACCCACTCTTACAGCTGGACTCGCAGGAGACTTGGAGTCACTTTTCCGTTTAACTTCGACCTCCACTCTCCCCCTCAAATCAAGTCAGAGATTAAGAATCTAGACTCTGGAATCTCTCAGTCCTGATTTCAGTTCTGGCTCTTGTTATGAGCAATGTTGGGAATTGTTTAAAATGGTGTTTCCTCTCGGAACATATGTAAAATAGCCATGCTTACCATATGGAATTACTAAGAATTAAATAAGAACGCATGCCCAGTGCCTCTCACATAAGTACTAAATGCTGGCTTTGAAGATGACAGTGGTAATGGTGACAATGGTGATGGGGTGATGGTGACTGTAGATGAGAAGACAGTTCCAGAAAGGGGAAGTAACTTCCCCAAGCCACTTTGTTAGTTGGTGGCAGTAACTGGGTTAGAGCCCCATCCTGATTCTGAGTCCAATATTTTCTACTTACTATGTTGCTCTTCTACACAGAAAGAGATGGTTCGGGAGAGCCAGCACCCCTCTTGCTCAGAGGAGGCCTTGTCACTCTCCTCCTGCATCCTGGGTTTCTAACATGGGTTCTGACCTCCTAAAACAGGTTGGCAGCAAAGCTGTCCTGATCACAGGCTGTGATTCTGGATTTGGGTTCTCCTTGGCCAAGCATCTGCATTCAAAAGGCTTCCTTGTGTTTGCTGGTTGCTTGATGAAGGTAAGAGATGGGTCATCTTTGTCTCCACGGTGCTTTACAGTCATTGTCTCATTATGTAGGCTTTTCTTTTAATTGCAGTAAAATGCATATGACATAAAATTTTCCATCTTAACTATTTTTAGGTATATAGTTTAGGTTCAGTGGTGTTAAATGTATTCATATTGTACATCATTACTTCCATTCATCCCATAACATACATATATATATATATATATATATAAAGATTTATTTATTTGTGCATACAGAACTGGGGTACAAGCCAGAGGCTCAGGGGCGGCAAGAGGCTTCACCAAAGACAGAGTGGGGTGCAGAACAGGCAGATCAATGAAGTACACTGCTGAGAGGAGCAGCGGGCGGGTCAGGAGAGGTCTGCCACACCATGTGGTCACCTCCAGGGCAGGCGGGAATCGAACTCATGCGGAAGTGGCTCCTTAGTGCTGTGCTTTAACCCGCTGCGCCACCAGGGAGGGCCATCCCCTAATATTTTTAATCTTGTAACATGGTAATTGTACACCAAATAGCCAATAAATTTCCATTCTTCCTTTCCCTAGTTCCTGGAAACCACAAATGACATGTTCTGTTTTTATGAATTCAACTACTCTCAGCAACTCATAAAAATGGAATCACACAGTGTTTTTCTTTTTGTGACTGATGTATTTCATTTAGCATATCTTCCAAATTTATCTGTTGGAGTCAATTACAGAATTTCCTTTTTGAGGTTGAAAAGTAGTCCATTGTATTTTACATATCTCATTTTGTCACCCCATTCATCTGTTGATTCATAGTTGAGTTGCTTCTGCAACCTAAGTGAATAACAAATGCTATTGTGAACATGGTACACAAGGAGATGCAAATAATTCTTTGAGAACCTGCTTGCAGTTCTTTCAGTTCCACCCAAAAGTGGAACTGCTGGGTTATATGGCAATTCTAATTTTATTTTATTTTTTTTGAGTAATTGCCATATTTTCCATAATAGGTGCACCATAATTACATTCCCACCAACAGTGCACAAGAAGTCAAGCTCGCCTCGTCCTTGCCTGTACTTGTCTTCTGTGTTGTGATGGTAGCATCCTAATGGGCGTGAGGGGGAGTCACTGTATTTTTGATTAGCCTTTCCCTAATGATAAGTGATGTTGAGCATCTTTTCTCATGTCTCATGAGTCATTCACAGATCTTCTCTATAGAAATGTCAACATCCTTTGTCCATTTTTGCATCAGATTATTTTTTTTATTATTGCTACTGAACTTTAGAAATTCTCTATACCGTCTAGATATTAATCCTTTATCAAGTATATGATTTGAAACTATATTCTCCCATTCTGTGGATTTATTCTATAGATAGTGTCTTTTGATCTACAAAACTTTACACATTTGCCTATTTTTTTCTTTTATTACCTCTATCTTTGGTGTCATATCCAAGAAATCACTGCCAATCCAAAGTCATAGTTTTCGTCTAAAAACTGTATTGCTTTGGGTCTTACATTGAAGCGCTAGTGATAGTGTGACTTAATTTCATACTACATAGATAGATAAGTATACTTATATATGTAACATGATATGCATATATATGTACATATATCATACTTACTTAGTCTTCATCCACAGTTCCTAACTCACAGCTCCCAAAGCTTTGGAATTTACTGTGTTAGGAGTGTTAAAGATGTCTCTTGTTCTGTTAATGAAGTGATGTACTCTGAGGGTGGGCTGGCTGCTAGGCCTACCGACTACCTGATTGGAGGGTTGGGATTTCCCTGGAGAGGAGGACCAAGGGGTGGTTCAATTGACAATGGCCGGTGAATTAATCAGTCATGTCTATGTCGTGTGCTCCCCTACCACCACCACCAAAGGAATGTCAGAGAGATTTCAGGTTGGTGAACATAAATCTTGGGTGAGAATGGCATACCTGAGAGAGCATGGAAGCTCTTTTCCTCATAATTAGCCATGTGCATTTTAGCTATCTGGCCGTTGGTCCAAATCTTTTAGTATCCTTTGTAATATAGTGAGTAAACAGGTTTCTTGAGCTGTGTGCCATTCTAGCAAATTAATTGAACCTGAGGTGGGTGTCCTGCGACCCTCTGATATAGGTCAGGTAATAATCTGGGCCTTGATGGGCACCTGAAGTCTGAGGAAGGAGTTGTGGGAACTTAGTCTATCTCCAGGTCTACGAACATTCACCTCTGTGAATGTTTTCTGTGTAGACGTGTTTTTACCTGCTTCTTTGTGTGTGTGTGTGTGTGTTTGTGTGTGTGTATTTAAACAGCATTCTTCATTTTGTACATGTTTCCATCTCAGCTGTAATCCCCATGGACTTCCCACCACCACTTCACCCATGTGTCGTCAACATAGTCCCATGTGCTCTTCCCCCCCAGTTTTGATCCTATTCCCCTCTCTACCCCATAGAATGTCTATGCTTTATAGTTGTCTGTTGATTTTCATTTTTACTTTATTGCAATTACTCTTTTTTTCCCCCTGACCCCTTACATTCCTGCTATGAGTGAAACTATCCAATATTTTTCCTTTTCTTTCAGGCTTATTTCACTAAGCATGGTCCCTTCCAGTTCTATCCATGTTGCCACAAATGGCATGAGTTTATCTTTTTTGGTTGCTGAGTAATATCCCGTAGTGCATCTGTACCATATCTTTGGATCACTTGTTCCAAGCTGCTTCTTTTTAATGAAGTTCAGAGACCAACATTTGGGCCCTAGGTATACTCATTGCTAATGGATATTGCTGCTTCTTGTCCCCTTCAGTGAACAGAGTCAGAAAATGTATACATAATCACATACACATATATGTGTATGTATACCTTGCATCAATTTGTATTATCTCCTTCAAACATTTCCTATAAGTATCACACATTAAACACATACACAATTCATATACTGACCTCCTGTTCAAATTCAGCAAAACAGCATTCTTCATTGCTTATCTCATTCCATATTTGTTACTTCTTTTCCTGCAGTTAGAAGTCTGATTCCCAACTGTAGGGGGCAACCAGATGTAGGGTGGGCCTGATTGGGATGCTGGGAGGCTGGCAGTGATCAAGACCCTCAGCCGCCTGTAAATCTTTATGCTTTTTCTGGGGGCCTGAATCCCGAGTCTGAAGCTGTAGCCACAGAGACTGACTCCTGGTTTCTTCTAAGAGAAGGCTTACCCGCCAAGCTACCAAAGTAATAGTTCATGTGGGTGTCCTTACTCAAGAGGGACTTCCTCTAGGTACTGCAAGGGCTTTACCTCAATGATGGCTAGAGGCACCAGAGAGAGAGGTCTGGTGTGGGAGTCAGAGAGTTTCTGAAAGCTGGCAGCATGGTTAGCAAAGTCCAGGAAGGTGAGAGGACATGCAGGTACCCCTGGACATCTCTGTTGGAGTCCACGCTGGTGGGCGCAGACATCAGCTTAGCTGGTGAGTTCGGCTTTGAGGGGGCTTAGGGAATCACATGGCAAGCCACATCCAGACTAGATACCTGCTTTCTGAAGCCCCTCCCACCTCTTCTTTTCTGGTGGAGCCCCTTCGGGTACAGCAACAGAAGCTCCAGCCTGCCAGCAACCCTGTGGATGCAGCGGCTGCCATGTCATTGAGAAGGTTGGCACACCCTGGGGGCCTCTGGGTGAAGCCTTGAGCTATCTGAGCCTCGTGCCTGGCTGTTCAGGCAGAGGTGATTGGGTGTAACTGACGTTCCTAGGAGCAGGTCTGGCTGACTCAGGGGCCACAGCATGTGGCTTCAGTGGGTCACTGGGGGGACTCCTGTAATCCCTGATGACAATGACAGTTTAGGGATGGAAGAGGTACTAGAGGGGGTCACCTTGACCTCCCGAGTGGTCCCTGGAATTTTTCTGTCTTGTACTGTACCATATTGTATACTCCCTACCACACACAAACACAACGATCTGAACATCTTCTGGGCAATCTGCACCATCTCTAGTCTGGGAAATAAAGCTAAAGTTGATTCCTTGAGCTTGTTCCTAGAATCAGCCTGTTCCCCTTACCCACCTGCTCCCCGAATCTCTCGCCGGGTGATGATCTCTAGGCCCTTTGGCTCCATTTCACACAGCCTTTCCACCATTCTCTCCTTTAGCCCTCTGACAGTATCTGATAGGGTTTGGTTCTTCCTGCTTCAAACCACTCAGAAGGTTCTGCCTGACCCGTAGAAAACTTTCTACTAGACTGTCTTTTGTGCTTCCTGTCCCAGCCCTTACCTGGGATGTTGGCTCTGTGCCTGTGATATGTGCTCCAGGAAAGCCCTGGGCTGAAGGTAGTCATCACTTCCTCCTCTGGCAGCTACTCCAGCCCTCTTGTGAGAGGCAACACTATCCCAGGCACCACCCAGAAAAGTCACTGCTAATTAAATTATGACTGACAGTGTTTAATTTTCACATGCAGTGGAATTCATCCCTATTATGAAAAAAAGTCATAGGACATGTGGAATATGCTAATGCAAGCCTCAGGATGTCAGAGCCAATGAGGTAATGCACATCAAGTGCTGAGCACAGTGTGAAGCACAGGAAACACTCAACATATGATGGCTCTTTTTATTCAAATCCTCCAGCAACTACGGCTGCCCCCAGCTGCCCCTGCCTCTCCAGCCTCTTGTCCCACCACATCCTTATGTTCCTCCTCTTCTTTCGGGCTGCCTCTTACCCCTTTCAGACAGCTCATACTCCATGTCTTGTTTGCTTGCTCATCTGCCACCTTCCCTTTTTAAAAAAAGTTTTATTTATCTGTGCATACAGAACTGGGGTCCAGGCCAGAGGTGCAGGGGTGGTGAAAGGATACATCAGGGGGTGGTGAAAGGATACATCAGAAACAGTGGGGAGCAGAACAGGCATATTGACAAAGTACACTGCTGGGGGAGCAGCAGGCGGGTCAGAAGAGGTCTCCTGCGCCATGGGAGTCACTTCCGGGGCAGGGATCAAACTCGTGCTGAAGTGGCTTTAGCTTAGTGCTGTGCTTTAACCCGCTGCGCCACCAGGAAGGACCTAAATGGCCAAGAAAAGAGATGGCAAAGTGCAGCACGCTGGTCATACCTGGGTATACTTCGGCCCACACAGTGTGATTTTGTTTATTTTTTAAAATGTGAATAAGTTGCCAACACTTAAAAAATTAGATTTCACACAGAAATCCCAATTACTAGCCCAAGTGTCTAGAAGCACAGCAACAGCTGGCCAGGGTTGAGAGGAGGAACATGGGCTGTTCTCACAAGTCCCTTTCCTCCCCATCCTCTGGTAGCACAGGCGTGGCCTGCTAGGTGCTAAGGTTGGCCCCTCAGGGAAAGAGTGCTGCTGGCGAGGCTATGGGTCCACAGCTGTGTTGACGTCACTCGGCTCGGCACCTGAAGTGTTACCCATGTGCAGGGGTTGGATAGAATCACCTGCAGATGTGCAGGCCCTGGTGGGCCCCAGAGACTACCACCTGGTGGTCCCAGCCTTTGGCAGGGACTTGAGGCCAGCTCCCCACTTTGGCCCTGGTCCTCGTCCTGGGGGCAGAGTACAAGGAGGAGCAGGTATAACAACTCCTCTCTCCTCCCCAGGAGGCAGGGGGTGAAGGCGTCAAAGAGCTGGATAGCTTGAAGAGTGACCTGCTGAAAACCATCCAACTCAATGTCTGCAATAGCCAGGAGGTGGAGAGAGCCGTGGAGGAGGTGCGCAGCAGCCTGGAGAACCCTGAAAATGGTAGGGGGCACCTTGGGCTACAGGGGTAGTACCCAGGCTGTGTCCTTGCTGATTGCTGCCCTCCATATGCCAGTCTTCTGTAAAAGGCGGCACAGCAGGTGGAGGTGGTTCTACTGAACATGCCTGGGCAGTGGACAGTGTGCAGGAAGCCAGATTCCTTTCAGAATCTGAAGCAGTCCTGAGTGGGTGTAAGCTGGTGCAGGGCCGTTCGATCAATGCTCCCTGGGGCCCAGTTCTGGGCTGAGAGCTGGGCACAGAGAGGGCACAGTCCCTGTCCCCGGATACCGCACAGGTCTTTGGGGCGCTGACCCAGATGACTTCCACATCCCTTCCCAGGGAGCAGCACAGTTTGAGGGATGCAGCCAGGTCTTCCGTGGGTAAGGTGGGAGCCCGTCAGCGAGGGCAAATGGGGTAGATTGCGGCAGGGTGCCAGGAAGGGCAGCCCAGGAGAGGGCTGAGCATGAACAAGAGTAGGGGACACACAGAGTGGGCTGGGACAAGTCAGGGAGCCAAGTCTCTGGGAGGCCGGCAGCAAATGAGGCTGTGGGTGAGGTCATCCATGGCCTGAGGTGCAGAGAGCGTGCTGCTCTCCTGAGGGCAGTGGGAGCCCCTGGAGGGGATTCCCTGGGGAGAGGGGGGCGCCTGGTTAGACTTGTGAAAGTTCACTCTGGGGACTGGGGTGTCAGTCAGAGGGAGGACTTCATGGGGGGAGCACAGGCATGGGAGTGCTGAAGTACAGCAGTGGTGAGAGGAAGGACTGAGGGGATGGGGAGGCACGGCTGGCTGGGAACCCGCATAGTGGGTGAGGAAGAAGCGAGGCAGACACTGGTGCCCTCACGGAGGGGCAGGGTGGGGGGAGACGCTGAAGTGCCATGGGACAACCTGCGGTGCGTGTCAGGATTGGGGGCCACCACCAAGGGATGGCGGTGGAAGTAGGTGTGGGGGCAATAGGAACTGTGGCGAATGTGAGCAATGGGGGGTGAGAGAGGGGAAGAGACAACTGCCACGGGGCCTGGGAATAGTGCCCAAGCTAAAAAAACAGAAGCCTGGGGGCCAGTCACCAGAGGGCCTCACGCCTTCCCGAGGGAGGCTGATGGGTTCCTGCGGCCTGCGCTCAGCTCTGCTGGCATTTGTCAGGTGAGATGTGGTTGTCCCCCAGCGGCCCCTCAGACTTCCCATGTTGTGCTGTCAGAGAGGTGCCAGCCTGTCACTGATGTGTCACTGTCACCAGTGCTCCCGCTTTCTCAGCAGGCCTTTCCCAGTCCCCTCTTCTCTCTGAGGAGAGGCCTGTGAACTCATGCGTGTAGCAGTTAACAGAGCCACGGCTCCTGTCCTCTTGACAGACGGCAGCTGGATCCCGCTGGCCAGGAGGGGAAGCCTGCCTTGCCCGGCCCGTGGTACATCCTTCTCCCGCCCCCCTTCCCTGGGCAGCCGGGGTGTTGCCTTTGTAACTAGTAGGCAGGGAAACAGCTGCAGTCAGCACCTAGAGCCACTTGTCACACCCTGTGGGCTCGGGGTGCTTTAAGATGCCTGCGGGAGGGAATCGTCACTGTGGACCTGAGGCTGGCTACACCACGGGTGGGGCTGCTCAGGCCTGGCCCTGGTCCCCTGCAAAGGGCAGAGCCCCCATTCCCTGAACTAGTCTGACCAGTTAGCCTAACCAGGAAAAGCAGGGACCTTAACACACAGGGATGGGGGACTTTAATCCGTCTCACCCCCACTCTTGGATTGGACTCAAACACAGCATCACCCCGACGCACAAACCTTTCCCTGTTTCCATGGAAGCATTCCAGCAGGGTTGATAAACCACACACCGTGGTCTTACTTGACCACTGCATTTTGTGGGAAAAGACTTACGTCTGAAGAGTAAGTGAATCCGTCAGCGATGGGCTTGCCCAGCTTCTCCTCCTGCCCATCCCCCTTTTGTCCTAGTAAAACTGCCAGTGCACCCCATCCTCAGGCAGTGCTGCCTCTGAACACCAGGTGGCGCCCCCAAAGCTTCTGGCCAGTTTGAGTCCCTGGCCAGTTTGGGAGGGCTGCTTCTCAGACTCCACCAAGCAGGAACCTTCCGGGACACCAGTGGGAGGCATATTTTCATGGCGATTTTGATGCTTTTCACCCTGGTTCTGTGGAACAGTTGCTGCCAAAGCCAAAGGAGCCAGTCACAGGCAGGCGGAGGAGGGGGTTGTCTCATTAGGGCGGGGGAGCCATCTGCCACCAGCCCTTTTGCTCCCCAGCAGGACGCTGAGGGCCTGGGCATGTGGAGTGGGCATGTGACCAGCCCTCCCCACTGCCACCCAGGAAGCTGGGTGAGTAGGGCAGCTCGCAGGATGTAGGCACGGCCTGAGCCTGAGGCAGCCACTGCTCGCTGTCAGTGATCACGCATTGCACGTCAGCTGTATACCTGGCAATGGGCCGAGCACCTGAAGGGCTGTGACCTGGCAAGAGCAGTGTGCAGTGGAGGTGGAGACCGCACAGCAGGACCCTAGAGGAACAGTTACAGCACTGGGGACACGGAGGCATAGATGAGGCGCCCCTCAGTCTGGCAGTGAGAAGACTGGACTTCGGGTTTTTGTGAGGTGTGCGACCTGGGGCTTCCACCCTCACCTGTGTGGGCCTCCACTTGCACATCTGTGAAGTGGGGAAGTCCATACAAGTCATCCAGCTTTCACACCTAGGTCTGATCAATCAGGTAGAATTTCCACAGAAGTTACTCTCAGGCTAAGGGCAGGGAGCTGAGCAAAGCAAGCAAGCCACAAGAGGGGGCCATGTGTGACTCAGGGGTACAGGGGCACCTCTGCATCTGCTCTGTTCACAAAGCTCTCCTATGGCTGCTCGGAAAGTGCCTGAGAAGAATGGAAACGAGGGTCCCACATGCCCCCTATAGAAGGGAACCAGAGGAGCCAGTAACAGGATGGCTGACAAGTGGAGCGTCTGACCGAGGGGTTGGCTGAGGATGGAGGGGAGGGAGGAGAGGCTGAGAACAGCAGCCCCCGGAGAGGCTTCTCCAGTAGCGCGAGCACCCAAGCTAATTCATGGAATCAGGAAAGAGGACACTGATTCTAGTGACACAGCAGAGGAAGCAAAACCGCACAGGTCTTGTGCAGCTGGTTCTCTGCAGCAGTCCCAACATCATGGCCTCAGGGCTGTGTCCTCTCAGAGACCTGGCTCCAAATCCCAGCCTGCCCGCTGTTGTGTGGGTGACACCGAGCAGGGCACTCGACCTCACTGAGCCTCGGCTGTTTCATGCAGCTAAGGGCCGATTCATCCTCTACTCTATGGGCTGGTTGTGAGTCAGGTAAATCAGTGGAGTCAGGTAAATTTCAGGGCCTGGGTGCTTTCCTCTTGATCTTTCTCTGTAATATGAACAGAATCAGTGACTAGCTAGACAGGGGAGAAGTGAAGCTGCTGACAGAGGCAAAGAGGAAAAAGAAACTATGAACAGAGGAGGACCAGGTTTGGACGGCTGGGAACTGGATGTGTCATCGTGGTTAGGGTGAGTGTGGGACCTTGGAACATCCAGATGAAAGTGACCGTCCAGGGGAGGCTGTGGTCAGGAGAGGGCTGTGACTCACAAGGAGCGCATGGGAATTGTTGGATAGAGGTGGTGTTGGGCTATGGCAGGAAAACAGCTGCCACCCGGGCCAAGAGGAAATTGTGAGTTTGTGCAGAATGTTGGCGGAGGACCTCAGAGAGCCACCTCATCTACAAAGCGTTACTACTCCAAGTCAGCAGAGCTGCAATCAGAGGCTTTGTGCTTTCACAGGTCAAGTTCAGCTGAACTTTTTTGGATATCAGTGTCAGATACAATACATTTTTAGATGGAAAAAGGACTGTGTATTTTAGGTCACACAAAGCAGCTGGAAAATTCCATGAACACAGAGAGGATGAGGCTGCTTAAGCACTGGGAGCCATCTGCCTGAAGATGGTCTGGGACCCCTGTATTTAAGGAGGTAAACAGTGGAAAAGGTCAGGGAGGTTAGAGTTGATGCTTAGGTTTCCTTAATGCCGGTGGAGGAGACAGTGCAAGAACCATCAGCGCTCATACTGTGGGGAGGCTGAGGAGAGTGAAGATGGGGCGGCATCATTCGCCTGTGGCATCTGGACACCGCGGAAAGTGGAAGGGACTGGGAATGACAGGGGAATGGAAGGGGACCAAAGCAGCTGGTGTTCTCAGAAGCCTGACCACAGAGGGGCGGAGAGCAGGGAGGGCATGAAGGGGCAGCACGGTTGAGAGAAAGTTTTTTCGGAAATGGAAAGATGGAATTTGTAGATATGTCCTCACCCACCGAACATTTATTGAGCACCTAATGTGGACAGTGTTGAAGGGAAGGAGCCCAGGTCAAAGAAGAGCTGCGGTGACATGGAGAGAGCAGCGGTGGCTTCTGATACGGAAGATGGAGGGAAGCGTCAGCCATGACGCATGAGGCCGTCTGCTGTTCCTGGGGAGAGGAGAGGGGCGACTGCTCCCTGGGCAGTTTTCAAGGCAGGGTTAGGGGAATCTGTGGAGGCTGCAGTGCTGACTCTGGTCCCATCATTAGTGTCACCGCGAGGTTACTGGTGAGACTGAAAACTGGAAGCTTCTGCTCAGCACCATGGGGAGTGGGAGTGAGAACTTCTGAGCACTTTGTTAACTAGCAATTTCCTTTCCCTAATAAATGTCTTTAATTCTCCATAATTGAAGGAGAAGACACCAGAGGTCAGTTGATGAAGCTTTAATTTGGGTAACACGGAAGGAAAGCAGCTAGAGACCAATTACTTTGTCATTTACACAAACTCATTTCCATGATTAACTGGGAAAGTGAAGCCAGGCCAGAGTTCCCACAGGCAGGGGACAGCCCAGGAGGGCAGCTCTGTCCTGTGCTGCACTTGGGAAGGAGCACAGGGCTTCCTTGGCCACCAGAGACTAAGGCCTGAGGGTTTCCACAGCAAAGCAGCGGGGCATAGCTCTGTCCTGAGGTCCAGCTCAGCCAGTCCTTGCAGCCCCGATATGGGAACTCACAGGGCCCTTCAGGACAAGGCTGCCTTCTCATGCCAGTGCCCCACTAGTTCAGCTCTGCCTGACTCACTGGGTAAACTGAAGCCAGTCCTTCCCCCTCAGGACCTCTGTCTCCTTAGCTGTTTAGTAATCAGACTAAATGACCTCCAGAGAGCAAAACTGAGGCCCAACTTGAAATCAAGACTTGGCTGAGCCTCTCATTTGCTGTGTGACCATGGTTCTGGGTCCCCTTTCTGGCCCTCCAGAGAGGGCTGGACCTGGAAAACTGCTGAGGTTCCTCTACTAGCAAGAGGGAGAATGTAAGCAAAGACTCAGAGGCAGGAGTGGATAAACAGATGACTGGTGTGAAGTGAGACTGGGTGGAGCAGGGTGGAAGTGAGTGAGGGGAGAGGAGGCGGGACTCCATACTGGGGGTGTCTAGCAGGTCTGGGTCATGATGGGCCTAGAACTTCGATGCTGACCGAAGTGAGAGGAGGATTAGACATTCTAGATGTACTTGAGGCAGGGTACAGCCAGGACTGCAGGCTTCTCTATCTCCTGCTACTCTTGGTGACTCTGTAAGTGTTCTGAGTGCCTTGGGCAAGTCATGGGGCAGAGAGATGAAAATGGAGAGAGGAAGGAGGGGGCTGAAGGCTAATGGTGGTAGCCACACCCACGTAGTCACTGTGGTTCTGTCCCCTCCTAGGCATGTGGGGCCTGGTTAACAACGCAGGTATCTCAACATTTGGGGAGGTGGAGTTCACCAGCATGGACACCTACAAGGAGGTGGCGGAAGTCAACCTCTGGGGCACAGTGCGGACGACAAAGTTCTTTCTTCCTCTCATCCGAAGGGCCAAAGGTGAGTTGGAAAGAGACTTTCTTCCTGCCTCTGTCTTTTCATTTTGTTTGGAATGGAAAGAGATCTCAGCAGACGGTAAGCGCATGGCTCCAGGTGTCGCTCAGGCTGGTGTTGGGGAGGGGAGGGGTCGTGTCCAGGCAGACAGAAAGGGATGTGTGGTTTTCAGAAAGCAGAGCAGGTAAGAGGTCAGCAGTCTCTGTGGCAAAGGCTTAAAGCTGATAGCAGTAACCCCTCTCACCCAGAGAAACCACCACCCTGTGCACAGAGCTTTACCCACAGATCATGTGTCAGCCAGGTTGTGGTTAAGAAAACTTAAGATATACCCATTCTCTGGGTTACTGAGCCATATAGAAGTATATAAATGTAGTTTTAAGTAAAAAAAATAATAATAATTTTAGAAATTTTGAAGAGCGTAGGGGCCTTCCTGGGGGAGTAAAGGGTTATTAAGCACAGCACAATGAAGCTGTTCACAGCTACTACCGCACAAGTTCAAACCCCAGCCAGGGAGGTGACCCACATGGCGCAGCAGACCTCTCCTGTCTCTCCTGCTGCTCCCCTCAGCAGTGCATTTCAGTTGATCTGCCTGTTCTGCTCCCCACTTTGTCTCTGGTGAACCCTCTCACCCCCTGCACCTCTTGCCTGTACCCCAGTTTTTAAAGATTTTAAATCTTTAAAAATAAAATTTGAAGAAAGGCAGGATACCCAAGCCATGTTAGGAAGCCAAATGTAAGCAAACCACCTAAGGAGTGGCTCAGATTTTCTCCTTACACTACCAAGCAACTGTGACAAGAAAAAAAAAAAAAAGAAAGGCAGGGGGAAGAGTCATACTAAATCTATCTCAGAATCTAGCAATGACAGGCTGAACCCTGAGAGCAGATGTAGGATTTCAGAAGAAATCTTTCAGCAACTTTGAACTAAAAGGTTTCTGAACGGTGCCTTCTGGAAGTGCCTCAGCTTCCAGAGTTCAGTGCCAGATCTGCCTGGGCTGCACCTCTCTACTGCCCCCAGGGCCGAGAGAAACTGTGATCAGCCCCTGAACCCTCAGGTTAGGCCTGGGGTGTCTTTCTGAGGTCACACACTCCCCCAGTGCTGAAGATTCTATTCACATGCCTTAGCCTGAAGTCAGGCCCAGAACCCCCGTCTCCCCAACGCTGGCAGACAGATCCCTGCAGGTGGTAACGTTGGCATCTGGTGAGAGCACGGGGAGAATGAGCACCAGGGCACCGTTGGCTGTGTGCTGCCCTGCAGTGTGCAGTCCTTGAGGGCTTTCACCTCACACACGAGCGGAAATGAGGTTTCTTTTCCCTGCCTCGACCAGGAATATCAGGGGGGCCGTCACCGACGGACGGACGTGTGGGCTGGGCTGGCCTTGCCAGCCAAGGGAGGGCATCTCCGCCAAGTGCTTCTGGAGGCCAGGCCCGGGTCCGGCGGCCAGCAAAACAGACGCAGGGCCCCGGGCCTCTGCGCCGGCCGCCGGCCGCGGCTCCTGAGCCGGTGTTCGCTGTCTCCCTCCGCAGGCCGCGTGGTCAACATCAGCAGCATGCTGGGCCGCATGGCCAACCCCGCGCGCTCCCCGTACTGCATCACCAAGTTCGGGGTGGAGGCCTTCTCCGACTGCCTGCGCTACGAGATGCTCCCGCTGGGCGTGAAGGTCTGCGTGGTGGAGCCCGGCAACTTCATCGCGGCCACCAGCCTCTACAGCCCCGAGCGCATCCAGATCATCGCCAACAGGATGTGGGACGAGCTGCCCGAGGTGGTGCGCCAGGACTACGGCCGGCAGTACTTCGACGAGAAGATCGCCAAGATGGAGACCTACTGCAACAGCGGCTCCACCGACACGTCCCCGGTCATCAACGCCGTCACCCACGCCCTGACCGCCGCCACCCCCTACACCCGCTACCACCCCATGGACTACTACTGGTGGCTGCGAATGCAGATCATGACCCACTTCCCGGGGGCACTGTCTGACCGCATCTACATATACTGAAGTTTCCTGCTGCGTCTGGGTGGAAAAGCAGCAGGGGGGAGGGGGGGAGCGGGAGGAAGGAAGCACAGAGAGGGGGTAGGGGAGGGGAGAGCGGAGCTGGCGCAGTCGTCTTTCATTTCCGACTGTGTTATTCGCGGCTCCTGCCGCACTGCAGTACACCACAGTGTAGTGATAACCAGAGCGTCGGCCCTGCCCGGCCGGGGTGCAGTGAGTGGCAGGCAGGGCCCCTAGGCTCAGGCAGACGTGGCCATCCATCTCCCTCCAGTTGATCTCATGCAAAGATTTGTGGGGAAACATCTTTATATTAAAAACAGATTTATTATAAAATATAATCTAAGTCCCCTATGTTTTTCAACCAAAACATCGGCTCTAAAATTTTTTCCCCTGATTCTCAGCGAGGCCCATAAATGCATTTTTTTTTCCTTTGCACATGAAGAATTTACAGCCCACAGAGGATATATGAATGACCCCGTTTTTATTTATATGTGGTCCAAGTTATGAGTTCCTGCCACTGCTTTAGAAACTGCACCTTCTGTGGCACAGGGCAGTGTGCACCCAGTTATCTGAGACTTGCCCCCCTCCTCCCTCGCCTGAGCCCTACACACGACCACCCTGTGCCTCTGCATGTCCACGGGGCTGCATTTTACTGGCCAGCCCTCAGCCAGACTGAGAGCTGACTGTGTGGAGGGCACCTTCTAGAGATTTCCATTTGAGAGTTCTTCTGCCTCCCACTGGACTTAAGACAGACCTGCGTGGAGGTGCTCTTTAGATAGAGCAGTTTGTCTCAGGTTTGGGTCAGCTTGGGTTGTCTTGGGTGTGACCTGCGCTGTTGAGACATCCTTGGCAGGAACCACGGGGTGAGGCACTGTGGCACCTTCTACCCCAGGGTGGGTCCAGGTCACCCGCCAGTCCCATATGGTGCTGTCATATCACACACACACACACACACACACACACACACACACACACTCTTTACCTCTCCTCCCAGCCCAGGGGCTGGATTCAGTTTCCCCACCTGACTCACACGGTGCTCTCACTCTCTCTCACTGTCACACACACCACATATGTGTTCTCTATGACTTGCCTTCCTGCTGTGGTCTTATCTTTAAGATGTCAGGTCACTGACAGTTATCCTGGACTCAGGTTTAAAGACTGCCATCCCGGTGAGTGCCCAGAGCCTGGATGGTTGCATAAAAACCAGGTAGCATCATCCTCCAGGTAAGGCTGCAGGCCGGGGATAGGGTCCTGAGTGCCAGCCCCACAACAAAATTAGCACCTCTGCCTCCCCCTGGAAGGGACAGACCTGCCGCTAGAGTGCGCCCCGCCTCCTCCACAGCCCTGCCAGTCCCATCTGACTCAGAGCTTGCTCCTAAGCCTGAGGTCCTGACCTCAGAAACAGTCTGGGCACAGAGGCAACGCCCCTTTAGAAGCAGCATCCCTGCTCTTCTAGCTTAAACATGGAGGCTAGCACCAGAAATAGTGTAAGAATCTGGGCAGCTGGAACTGGCCACAGGGCTCAGGCAGTGCCAAGGAAAAGGGGATTCTCACAATGAGCAATTACAGCTTGCCTTGTGGGGCCATGTCCCCTCTGTCTTCTGTTGGGGATGTTCTGTCCCAGCTCCCTGTCTGGAGACATGACAGCGTGGGCAGGCAGGGCTAAAATTCCAGAACCTAGAGGACATTTGACAGCCATTGTGTTTATATAACGAGATCCTCTTGTATCACAGTTTGCCTTTCAAATCTTTTCATATCTTGGGAGATTTTGTTTTCATGTGTAATTTTATTAAAGGAAAATGGATGCAATCCTTGGAGTTACACTGTGTATGGATACCTGGGAACTAGAAGGGAACCATGTGAACGGTGGTCACACAGGCTGCTTGGAACCAGCAGTAACCTGGACACAGGAGAAGCTGCATGTTCATCTGCCAGGGTCTCCGGGAGTCTTCCAGGACCACCAGGGTCCTGCCACTTACAGGCTGTCCTGGCTTATTGTTTTCATCCCAGTGACTGAAAAACCCAGAGCACCTCCCCGCTCTTGATAATCTCCAAGTTAGTTAAAACTCCACATTTACCATTCACTTCCTGGCAGCTTAGTGCCCGCTAAGGGTCAGGGTCGAGTTCAGTCCTGATCAGAGGCAGGAACAGAGGTAGCTGTTTCTGTTTCATAGATGTCATCTAGCCCCTAGACCCTCACTGCCTGTCCGTTGGCCTGAGCTGCCCCTTGTGGAAGTGAGGGTAATTAGGAGGCCTTCCAGAGGCTGCCACCCAGCGCTCGCCACCCAGCGCTCGCCACCCAGCGCTCACCATCCAGTCTGCTGGAAACAGATGGCATTCACAGGCGCTGCCTTGGGCAGCACTGTCTCCTGCACCCCTCCCCCACGTGGCATAGATTTGCTTGGCCACTGAGGCCTGAGGACTCCTCTCCCACTGCCGCCTAGGCCTGCAGTCCTGGGCATGGGCCCCTGCAGTGTACTCACATCTCCCTCTGGACAGGTACCAATCAGCAGGGCCCAGAACTGTGTGACGTGCCCTGGCATTAGTCGGTCCTCACACCTGGCCCAGACGGGAACCAAACACTCATCATCTCATTTGTTCCTCTGCAGGACCCATGGGTAGGACAGAGTTCAGTATCCCTGCCAGTCCCACTCTGTCACCCCTATGGTGTGACCTTGAGTAAGTGGCTTTTGGCTCAGGACCTCAGTTGCTGCTTCAGGCAAGAGGAGGGAAAGCAGACGAAGCCTGGAATTGGGGAAGGGGATTCAGTAGTAACCTGGACACAGGAGAAGCTGCATGTTCATCTGCCAGGGTCTCCGGGAGTCTTCCAGGACCACGCCAGTGGTGCTCTGCGCGGGACACATGATCTGGTGCTTCGTGGAAACTAACGCTCCTTTGATGACACCAGCAGGGGGAGGGTGTCTGTAAGATGCCCCTGACAGTGCCTTGTTGTAGAGCACATGGCCGTTCCACCTGGGACCACGAGGCGTGCGGGCAGGTGCAGGCAGCCCGGGCTACCTACCACACCTGCTCAGGCTGCGCCTTTGCTGCCCGAGGCTGGGGTCTGCCGGAGGCCCCAACTAAGTGCTGTTCACTTCCCGTATTTCCAACAAGGCCCGGCTCTGCAAACCCACGTGATGCTCTTTTGATGGGGGTGAGACATGGAAAGCAGAGACTCCGGCTTGGGAAGCATCAGACTCAGCTGCCAGACAACAACCAGGCACATCTGTGCCGCGCCGGTCATGGCCCACAGCTATTTCACCTCCTCCTCTCCCTGCTCCTCACAGCAGTCTGGGGTGGGGGCAGTGGGGGCTCATTATCTCATTTTCCACATAAGGAAGCAGATTACCCCAAGTCTTGTGCCAAGGGAGAGAGAGAGAGCCAGGGGCCAAGCCAGATCTAACCTCCAGCCTGAGCTAGTGAGGCATGAAAAGCAGGGCAGATGGCACTAAGATCTAAAATAAGGAGGGAAAAAAATACCTCAATTACGTAAGAGTGAAAAATCTGTAAGCATATGCACAGTAACAGCCAGAGTGCTGCCACAAGCACCCGGTCCTCCTCTTCTTCCCCCTTTGGGCTCTAGGTGCTGCAGCCGAGAAGAGAATGTGCTGGATCGCCTTCTCTCGGCTTCTCGGCTAACTGCACATGTCTCCAAGGGCATGCTAGGAAACCCGACATTCTGGAGATGTCCCCAGAGGCCTCAGGTTAAGGAAGCACAGGTACGGATGAGGAGAGGACCAGCAGTGCTCTGGGACTCTGGAAGCTAAACAAACAAGCCAATGAGCCCAGAGCGCGTAACGCCTTCTCGGCGCGTGCAGGCATGAAAGAAGGTGATTTGTGAATGGCAGATCACAGGTGCATGGTGACTAGCTGCTGGGCCAGGCACCAGAGGCCAGGGCCTGGGATAAGGGTTGGGCGAAGCTCCCAGGGACCCCAGGGCCACAGACAAGGACGGGGAGCCATCATTAAGGCAGACTCCTGGCCTCCTGGAAGCTGGCCAGACCTTGAAGCCCTCCAGTGACAGAGAACTCATTACTTCCCAGGAGGGCAAGAGAAAATTTATGCAAAGACTGAGCTGAACTCTGCCACCCCTCATTTAATTCCTTTGGCACTTGGCCATGACTCAGAACTGCCCACAACACTGGCCTCTGGGAATGACCAAGTCAGAATCAAAGGCCCAGCTTCCTTGTTGAGCAAAATGTCTGTACTCACTGAACAGAAAATTTCAGTGGTTACTCCAGCCCTAGGTCCTGAAGACCACACCAGGCTCAATGGCCACCTGAGTCCCCTCTAGCAATCAAGAACTTTGGAAAGCGGCAAGATGCTGCCCACTGCGCATGCCTCTACCCCTTCACAACCAGCCAAAGGTGAGCTCGACTCCTCTTTCTGGATCCTATCGGTTCAGCAGACCACGGTGCGCTTCCCACCAATGCAGACATGGCTCAGGGAGGTGAGGAGACTTGCTGAGAACACAGAGCCAGGAAGGTAGGAGCCAAGACCCAAGCCCAGGCCTTCTGACTTCCATTCCTGGGGCCCCTTCCTTTATGCCGGATTGCCTCAGTCTCCCCATTTGGGCCCTTCAGTGGGGCTGGGCTCCTGTCAGTCAGAGGCTGGCCATGCAGCCTGAGGAGTGATGAGTAGAGAGCACTAAACTCAACTTTCTGCTAGGCCACAGTCTTGCTGAGAGCAACAGAGAGAAACTGAGTCTTCCCATGCAACAACAGCAGGCGTGTTGTTCTGCAGTTTGGCCACTCATGGAGAGCCTGAATGGGGATGGAGGGGCCAGTGAGTGCCCCCAGGATTGTAGCTGGGGACTGTCCTGGCCTCAGCCTGAGCAAACATGTGTTAGAAGAGAGAGTGTGTGAATGGGGACTAACCTCAGGGGACAGTGATCCCAGAAACACCTTGTGCTGCTCTCTTAGTGAGACTTAATTACTCCATAAAATGTGAGGCTGTTCCCACTAATCAAATTATAGACGAGCTTAATTACAGCTCACTGAGTAACCACACTGGGCTTCATCAGAAATAGCAGAGGGCCGGCTGCTCCTCCCAGCTCCAGCGACAACTGCTCGGTATCCGGAGGAACGGTCATTTGTCCCAGGGTCTTCCTGCTGCTGAACTCCGCTCTCAAACGGGAGCCAGCTTGGCGGCCACCCTGGGCGCTCTCCTCCACTGGACCCTCAGGCTGGGGCTGCTTTCAGCAGGTGAGGACGCTGTGGGCGCCCTGGCCTCGTGCTCTGCCGGGGCCTCACCCTCGCTCCTGTTGTGTTCAAACCTGGCCACAGGTTTTGGTTTATATGTCTGATCAAAGACTCACAAATTA